TGCAGGACGGACTGGCTCTCTGGGTCAATAAAGCCCGCGCTGGGAAACTGAGCCCCCCCGTGGTCTACAGTCACCATCACATTGACCGGTCACATGAAGAGTTCACTTTCGGGTGAGTTCCCATTTTGAAGCTGGCGTCAGCTAATGAGAACCTATGAGGCCGGGGGCAGAAACTCTCAGCTGATCCGAACGCGCTGACGTCCGATTTACTGCTCAGTCAAACCGCCCCACAGCTCCTCCAGTCCACACACGCGTCTACCGAGTGATGCAAGCAGGGCCGACACACTAAGGACGGCGCGTGTTTCTGCGTCGACGCACTGGTTTCACTTCCTGGTTGTAAGACGACCTCGAGAGTCACGTCTATTTGTTTGTTTGTTTGTTTATTTATTGATCATAGACTTTATTGCCCCGTGCATCCACACTGCTGCTTTTCATCATTGACACATTTGTCCCGTATTTTCCTCCACAACTTTGTTCCTCTCGCCCGACAGACCAGCGGCGATCTCCCTCCGTGAATCCAACCCGCTTCTACAACCCGCCAATGACGGCTCGTATAAGCGCTCATATTTACGCATTTCTTCAGACAAAAGCTCTTCAATCTGATCCGTTCTCTCTCTCTCTTTTAATAATGGCCGTATCGGGCTATGAAAGCGGAAATGTGAGACTCGGTAAAGGACGTAGTTAGCGGACCAATCACAGCCTTGCGTCCCAAGAAAAATGGAAAAAAAGAAAAATGTCTCGACACACGTAAGGAGGCTGCGTCGCTCTGAAGCATAAACTCGGCTTTAGGGGAGGTGACGGTCCGATGGGACACTTGGCACGATGGTGCGTCTGTGTCGCTTGTAGCGACCGGCGCCGAGGGGTCACGTGCTCGCCCCTTTTCTCTCAGGCGCCTTCGTGTCCCACTCCCTCTAAACCGCGTGCAGATTAACACTCCCCTCACACACCTATCAGGCCCTTCTTTAATAGAAACCGGGTACCCCCAGGTACACCAAGAGGGCGGGCCCAGAAAGAGGGCGGGCCCAGAAAGCTACGCAGGTGGAGGAAGTGACGGCATCAGTAGTGCGAGCTCAGTGTACATGACCACTTGTTGTATTCAAATACTTATACATTATTTCATTAAATACAATAATTGAAACTATGTATCACTGGAATCTAACAGTATTTAATTGAATGTACTATATTTCCTTTGAATTGTGCGAGTAGTTTAAGGTTCTACTTGGGGACGCTGGTGGGAAAGTGAGACTTATCCAGTAGGGTCGGCGCTAACAAACAAGCACCTCCTCTCCCGGCCCTGATGGAAACAGCGGGACAGTCGAGGCGTCCTGCGGGGAAGACTGATGACAGCGTCCCATTTGCAGCTTCACAGCCGAAGGTTTCCTCTTCTCTACGCTTGATTAATGGCCGCTGAGGTGGAAGCGCTTCACAAGCAAAACGAAGGCACCAGACGACGCATTAAAGAGACCCACGCTTTGACAAAGCGCAGGCTCAGCTATACGCTAACTAATTAGCCCGGTTAGCGGTCTGACTGGGCCAACTAGCAGGTTCTCACTAGGAATCCAGTCCTGGCGTGTGATTATGGGGGAGTGGGCGGAGTGATGGCGGCCGCCCTACTTGACCTCGTTTTCCTCCATTAATTAACACGTGGCGTGCCGTCTCCCGGCAATTAAGATGACCACGCTGTGGCAGGTCGGTGACACACACTTACCTGGCCCAATCAGCAGACAGCACAGCCCCTGGTGGCTATTAGCACGGGCCCATCCCAATTAAGAGGCTAAGCGGATCTCGAGCGTTTGGCGGTTGAGCCCACGGAGTATAAAGCCTCCAACCGTAACGCGACACCAAAAGGCACGTGGCCCGTTTCCCCCGTCGCCCAGCCAGCCCCCCCCTCCCAGTCAGACCTGAGAGTCTTCAATTAAAGCCATTTGCATTTTGCTAATATCATAATTGTAGCCGCAGTCATTAATAGGAAAGTGGAAAATGAGTGTCGTAGTGGAGACTTAATCCGAGCTGGGGGAGAGAAGATATCTTCCCACTAACCCCCCTCTCCTCCCGACGGGGGAGAGGGGGGCAGCATTAGCTGGGCCTGTCGCTGCGCAGCTATTAAATGTGACCTGGATTTAACTAGAACTCAATAACTAAAAATAAGGAAGCCATTAAGAGCCATTTGTTAACGTGTTGTTCCACACTCTCCAATCGGTTTAGACTGCTGGGGGGGGTGGGGGGGGGGGCTCTATAGCCAGACACGTTACGGTTAAGCTTACCTGTGGGGAAAACACGCACACCTTTTAAAGGAGAGATTCTCGACTCGTTTTTAATAGGCCCCAGGCCTCTGCCTGGGAAAATAAGAATTAGAATTAACAGCTGGCCGTTTGGTTTTTGTTGGCTTACGTATTCTGTCTCTATACTGTCTCAGGTTCAAACTGCACCATATTTTCATTAAATACATTTGAGAAGTTGAGAATGTTCCTCGATTTGGGTCGCGGCTTGTCATCAAGGGGTGTTGGTGGGTCCCGGAGCCGGACCAGCTGAGAATATGGGTTCATCTTCGTCTCTGGCTTCTGAGCTGCTCGTACTAATTCTGAGGTAAACGGTACGCGGCGCAGAGTTGGACTTGCAAAGCATCCTGGGAACGTTGCCTTGTTGTTCACTATTAGAAAGTATTTGATCACCTTTCTCACTGTGAGCCACTTGAAACTATAATCTGCACTTAATGTGCTGTGGAGCAGTTTCATCTACATCTCATCTTAAAGGACCCGTCGATGCAGCTGATGCTCTGTGTGCCAGTGAGTGAGTGAGGAGTGAGGGAGTGAGTGAGGAAGTAAGGAGGAGTGAGTGAGGAAGTGAGTGAGGAGTGAGGGAGTGAGTAAGTGAGTAGTGAGGGAGGAATGAGTGAGTAGTGAGGGAGGGAGGAAGTGAGGGAGTGAGAGTGAGGAAGTGAGTGAGGAAGGAGTGAGTGAGGAGTGAGTGAGAAGTGAGGAGTGACTAGTGAGGGAGGGAGGAAGTCAGTAAGTGAGAGTGAGGAAGTGAGTGAGTAGTGAGGGAGGAATGAGTGAGTAGTGAGGGAGGGAGGAAGTGAGGGAGTGAGAGTGAGGAAGTGAGTGAGGAAGGAGTGAGTGAGAAGTGAGGAGTGACTAGTGAGGAAGTCAGTAAGTGAGAGTGAGGAAGGAGTGAATGAGAAGTGAGGAGTGAGTGACCAGTTAGGGAGGGAGGAAGTCAGTAAGTGAGAGTGAGGAAGTGAGTGAAGAGTGAGTGAGTAGTGAGGAAGTCAGTAAGTGAGAGTGAGGAAGTGAGGGACTAGTGAGGAGTGAGTAGTGAGGAAGTCAGTAAGTGAGAGTGAGGAAGTGAGGGACTAGTGAGTAGTGAGGAAGTCAGTAAGTGAGAGTGAGGAAGTGAGGGACTAGTGAGGAGTGAGTAGTGAGGAAGTCAGTAAGTGAGAGTGAGGAAGTGAGGGACTAGTGAGGAGTGAGTGAGTTTCACAGTGCAGGATGCTGTCATTTTATAGGCCAATGCACCGGTTTCCTCCACAAAAAGAAACACTGGGATTTTTCCATCACAGATTATTGCAGGTGATGCAAATGCATGAAGTAAGACGCTATTGTCTGCACAGCTTTTAACAAAGCACGCCCCCATCACAGGAGCCGGGCGGGTCCAGGAGGCGCATTTAGCACCGTGAGGTAAGTAAAAAGCTTCCAAAGTCACAAGGAGAAAGCGTTTGTGAGGAAAGAACGAAGCGTGTGGGTGACGCGCTGGGATTGATGTCGGCCTGCTGCACTCTCCACCCAGCCCGCTCTCACCAAACCATGGCCAAGGGTTGACTGACCCGGCCCACCTCCGTGCTCGACACGATTACAGTTCTAATGAGAACAAAAGGGAAATGGAAGTTTTTGCTCGAGCCAACGCATTGAGAATTTGTCCTGTTGTGTCATGAATGATAACCAGCACAAAGAGGCACATCCTCCTTTTTCCAGAAGGATTTTTCTGAGCTCTCACGTCTCAAATTAATCATTTGTGGATGTATTTTTAAAACTACATGACGGAGGATCCTTATTTAGAAGCGAGATGGGCAAACGTTCTCAGAGACCAGATCCCCTCCTTCCGTTCTTCCCTTTCACAATAAAAGCCCTGAGCCTCCAACGACGCGTCATGGTGTTTCGGCTCCAGCGCAGTCACTTACCTGCTCCACCCGAGGGTCTCCATCTCAGAGATGAGCCGCGAGTAATACTGGGGGGGGGGGATGGAGCGGCACTCCGGACAGCTTTTCAGACACACTTCCTGCAACAGCAGAGGGAGCGCTTAGAATTTGGTGCACCATCCGTCTTCATCCCAGAAGCAAACAAGTAGAGACGCCGCTGAATCAGGGCCGTCCTTCGCTGGCCGGCACATAAATGACTTTTCATTAATCTGACAAAATATACACGTGTGGCTCATTATCGAGGCCCGTGATGGCGCCTGAAGGTTCCCGTTGACTTCCTCTTCCCACGGCAACAGCGTCAGAGTGGCCACGCAGCCACTGTGTCATTGTCCCCCTCACCAGGACGGTCTTCAGCTCCAGAACGAAAGTGACAAGATCAGCCGACTGCTGCAGCCTCTGAGGAGGCAAACGGGAGAGAAGAGACACCCTTGAATGGGGGGGGGGGGGTAATGAAGTGACACTGTCGATTTCTTTCTTCTTCCTCCAGCCAGCCATTCAAATCAAACACGGTGTTTGTGATTAATGGGGGCTGCCAGCACCTTCAATAATTAATGATGGCTTAAAGGCTGTGAAAATAATGAACTTTGCAGCTCAGGGTGAAATATCAATCTCATCCAAATCACCCTGAGGGGCAGCAGGACAAATAGGGACATTTTACAGGCCACGTTAATTACAACAGTGGAAAATATTTTCTCCCTCTGCTTCCGAGTGAGGCGACGCTGACGGGCGAAACACAGGAAACACAAAGGGGCCACAATGACGCAACAAGAAACAATCAATCCGACGGAGACAGGAGGACAGCGCCGGTGTCTCCGGGGACGGAGGCGGCGTTTACCTGCTTCACTACGTGTTCGTAGCCCTGCAACAGGTGTTTCAACTGCCAACAGCAGTGCAGCCTGCAGGAACAAAGGCAGAGTAGAGCATCAACAGACACACAGACAGGGACGGGGACGGGACGGGGACGGGACGGGGACGCCTGGCTCCTACCTGGCACCTTTCAGTCCTCCAGCAGCCGGGAGCAGCACCCTCAGTCGGAAGTCCCGGTCCTGTGAGGGTCACAGCAGCTCTTAGTAAGCGGCCATGCGAGCACGCAGCCCGGTGCTAAAGAAACGCGTCTTCAGCTAGAAACGGACATGGGACATGTCCCAAAATAAAATGTCTGGGACTCATTGGATGTCGAGTATGTCTGAATCTACACGGTTACTTGGTCGGGATGCGTCTTTGTCCCCCCCTGTCCCCACGGAGTGCGACTACCCGAGACATGTTGACACGGGGGTTGTACGGTGCTCGGGAATAACACGCATGTTCCCGAGACGTTCGTCGTTAGGCGCGTTTACTCCCGCCGCTCACGTGACGGGCAGCGGGGAATGACGCGGGGGGACCGGAAGGAGCCGCTAGCTTGCCTGCACGGTGATGAATCCGTCGTATAGCGTCTTGTCCCGGTTGAGCGGGACGAGCAGCGGGTTGTCTCTGAGCAAGACGCTGTCCATGTCCGCGCCGAGGACTCGGCCGCTCGCTCCCGGTGAGAAGACGCGGTCCGTGTACGACCCGTCCCGCCAGGAAATCCAAACCGCCTGACGTCACGTTGTTGCCTTCAGTGACTTCTAAAAAAAGTCGGAATTGAGAAGTAACACATTTGAATGTCTTTGGTTGGATAATCGCAGTGGTTATTAAGTCCTTATTTATAAGCATGTCAATCTGGTATTTACAATGAATATAGAGTAGAGCTGTGACCGATGACTATGACACCAAAAACATACGTTTTAGAGCAGTTACAGATAAAGATCCGTTTACTCTTCCGGCTTGTCATGGGCTTCCCTTTCTGTTGTAGTGGCCCTTCAGGGGCCCCTGCTCAGGGTGCTGCTGCGTGGGTTGATGGGTGTTCATGAGAGGAGATGCTGACACAGTGTGAAAGCTGACAGGAAGATGAATAACCACAGAACATTCCCATCGTCCTGCTAAAATATGCCATAAATGTGTTAGAAGAGCGGGAGCGAGCTCCGATTTCTCATAAGATGGTATATAGATTTATGCTAATTCTAAATGCTCACATAAGAGGTGTTCGAAATGTCATCTTCCGTTTATAAATGTCTCTCATTGGATTTCTTTCTCACTTGTGTCTCACTTTTCGTCTGGAATAATATTGTAATAAAGTTAACAACAAAGTTACGTAGTGTATGACAGACACAGGAGACACTCAGCTATGCTTTTCACTGCACAGAATCCAGGACTTTGTAGGCCGCTGCATGGGGGACAATAGCAGACAGGAACCCGGATGTGGTGGTCGGGTTTAGGTGTTTATTCTCCTACCTGCTTTCTTTCTCACTCTCGCTGTTATGGACCAAAAACTGTTCAAGGAGATTAGGGGGCACTGCACTGCACTGAAGTATGTTCATTTCAAATGAATTCAAACTAAAACGACATCCCATAGTTTGGCTTTTCTCTAGAATGAACTCTCAGCTCACTACTGTGCCGTGTATTGGCATGTACGTTTTTTTGTTACTGAGGGGGATGTATCTTAAAGTAGAAAATAGGAATATGACCATAGAAATAAATCATAAACTCAAATCTGATGTTTCTCCAAGAGTGTTGCCTCAATATGACAAGAGACATGAACAATTTATTGAACAGCGGTGTAGCGGTTACTGGGTGGAAAACTCTGCTTATGCCGACTAGAGCAGGTGTGGAAGTGTCTTAAAACCTGCATTCTATCGAATATCCACCAGGGGGCGACGGCATAGATTGCATAGAAGTCCATGAGAAAATTACTCTACTTCTCTCTTGATTTGTTCCCTCAGTAAATTGTAAAAAATGAGTTCATCTCAATCTCTAGGTTTGTCTTCTTCAACACAGCATGATGTTGATTTTGTGAATAATGGTCCATTTAGAGTCAAATAGAACATCAAGCAGGGAAATGCTTTGTGATTGACAGGTATGTTGCTGCTTCCACAGCTGTATACGGCACCTCCACATCACTCCTCCGCCAGATGTGGGAACTTCCATTCACTGGTTTAAAAATGAATAATGGTGTCGGTCGGAACCCGACGGGGCGAAGCTTCGTAACAACAGTCCACACGTTTATGGTGGTTACACATCCAGCAGACACAAGGGACACAAACGATCATTTCTAGTCTTGTTACTTTTTAATCTCCGCCAGGTTCCTTCTGTGGGGAGATCACGTGTTTTGTTGTGTTTGTGTGTGAGTGTGTGTGAGCATCTGTTTGTCCGTCCGTGGATAATTTACAACTACTGGAGCCATCAGTCCGCCAGTTGTAGTTGCTCACACAGGTATTTTCCCCACAGTTTTGTAGCATCACTGCTTCTCTTGCACAAATGTTGTGGTAACTTTACCTCCTCCGATTCGGGTTAAACTATGCCTTTTGTCGCGGCTCAAAAGCCCAGCTCAGGATAACAGGTTGAAAGACGCCGAGGCGGTCTGAGGAGAGTCATTTTCTACCACCGTTAACAAAAGAATACGGAGCACACTGCAGCTTTAAGACGAAGGTATGAACCCTGTTCAATGGGCACTTTGACCCCGCCTCGGCCCCCATTTGGACTACTCCAACTGTACGACCACAGCCCTGGTTTGAAGGACCGTGGCGGGCCAAGGAGAAGCTCTGCTCAGCCAACAAAAGCAATCAAACTCACACCTGACTCTGGCTCTGTCGCTAACTGGCATCCATCACGCCATATGGCACACGGAGCGCGGCAGATACGGAAAAATCCCACATTCTAATCCAATCAAAACACGATTACGACAAAAGCGCACAATGTGCACTTGTCCTTCAGCTCCCCCTTCAGTGTTGATCCAGCAAGCAGAGAAGGTGTGGTTCCCCTGCATGGAGGCTGGGGGGGGGGGGCTAAATGGTAAATGGCCTGTACTTGTATAGCGCTTTTCTAGTCTTCTGACCACTCAAAGCGCTTTAACACTACATGACATCATTCACCCATTCACACCCATTCACACACTGATGACAGGAGAACCACACACAGTGACACCTGCCATCAGTAACTACCATTCACACACTGATGACAGGAGAACCACACACAGTGACACCTGCCATCAGTAACTACCATCCACACACTGTAGTCACAGCTACAGGAGCAATGTTGGGTTAAGTGTCTTGCCCAAGGACACAACGACATGCGGGTTAGCAGATCCTGGGATCGAACCGACAACCCATTTCAGTCTGATGCTAAATCTTGTGCATTCTTTCGCTGGCTGGTGTAAATTGTTTTCATTTTTAGCCAGCCTCCAGCCTGCATGCAGGGGGAGTGTGGTTACCCTGTATAGAGGCTGGGGGGAGTGTGGTTACCCTGCATGGAGGCTGGGGGGGAGTGTGGTTACCCTGTATGGAGGCTGGGGATGTGTGGTTACCCTGTAGAGAGGCTGGGGTGTGTGTGGTTACCCTGTATGGAGGCTGGGGGTGTGTGGTTACCCTGTAGAGAAGCGAAAGGGTGGTTACCCTGTAGAGAAGCTGGGGTGTGTGTGGTTACCCTGTATGGAGGCTGGGAGGGAGTGTGGTTACCCTGTAGCGTGCGTACGCGACACACACACATGGGAGATTGATGCTTTTAGCTTTTTGTCATCACCTGCTTCAAAGCAGTAAAAAAGAAAGCATGAGACAACTAGAGCAACCCAACAAAAGACAGGGGGGGATCTGCTTTGGAGGAATGTCTAAGGGGTTCTGTTGGGGGGGGGGGGGGGGGTTGGAGGAATGTCTGAGGGGTTCTTTTGGGGGGGGGGGGGGTTGTAGGAATGTCTGAGGGGTTCTGTTGGGGGGGTTTGGAGGAATGTCTGAGGGGTTCTGTTGGGGGGTTTGGAGGAATGTCTGAGGGGTTCTGTTGGGGGTTTGGAGGAATGTCTGAGGGGTTCTGTTGGGGGGGTGGAGGAATGTCTGAGGGGTTCTGTTGGGGGGGGTGGAGGAATGTCTGAGGGGTTCTGTTGGGGGGGGGGGTTGGAGGAATGTCTGAGGGGTTCTGTTGTGGAGGGGGTGGAGGAATGTCTGAGGGGTTCTGTTGGGGGGTTTGGAGGAATGTCTGAGGGGTTCTGTTGGGGGGGGTTTGGAGGAATGTCTGAGGGGTTCTGTTGTGGAGGGGGTGGAGGAATGTCTGAGGGGTTCTGTTGTGGAGGGGGTGGAGGAATGTCTGAGGGGTTCTGTTGGGGGGGTTTGGAGGAATGTCTGAGGGGTTCTGTTGGGGGGGGGGGGGTGGAGGAATGTCTGAGGGGTTCTGTTGGGGGGTTTGGAGGAATGTCTGAGGGGTTCTGTTGGGGGGGTGGAGGAATGTCTGAGGGTTCTGTTGGGGGGTTTGGAGGAATGTCTGAGGGGTTCTGTTGGGGGGGGGGGTGGAGGAATGTCTGAGGGGTTCTGTTGGGGGGGGGGTGGAGGAATGTCTGAGGGGTTCTGTTGGGGGGGGGGGTGGAGGAATGTCTGAGGGGTTCTGTTGGGGGGTTTGGAGGAATGTCTGAGGGGTTCTGTTGGGGGGGGGGGGGGGGGTGGAGGAATGTCTGAGGGGTTCTGTTGTGATGCAAAACCCAAAAGCAGCAGTGGCTCTAAATCGCGTGTTCTACCACGTGTTGTTTGGTTCTCTGACATAAATGAGAACATTTAGAGGCTTTTTAAAGTCGTTTTTATTTGTGAATATCGGCGCAGTGGGAGAAGGAATAGTCAGCAGCCTCCCTCCCTCCCTCCCTCCGTCCCTCCCTCTCTCGCTCCCTTCGGCTCTACACCGTCACGGAGGGAGCGGGAGAAAAGAAGCGCGCGTCTCGTTCTCGCGGCTCTGACAGCGTAAGGGCGTCAGAATGTTGCGTCGGAGACGGCGGACGGCGGACGGGGGACCGGGGACCGGGGGACGGGGACCGGGGACGTCCAGGCGGTGAGCTCCCGGTCGGCCTCCGTCCGCTGCTTCCGCTCGCCTCGCGCGCCGTGTGAAGAGGTCACTGCTCTGCGAGGCGATTGGCTGGTAGTCCTGCTCCCCGCGCGTCTCTCTCTCTCTCTCCCCTCTCTCCCCCCCGTCTCTCGCTCTGTGGCGTTCTGCACGTATCTGGGTGATAATGGGACATATTGTTTCCTCAGACCGGTGATTTATGTGCAGGAATTTGTGCCATTCGTAGATTGTCAGATTTTTAAAAACCGTTTTGATTACTATTATATTTGTGTTTTTATCTTATTAATCTGAATAACGTATTGCATGATATATTCATCTTCTCCCTTTTTGTTTATTGTTATTGTCAAGTAGACTAATAGACACAGCTTGTATCAGTATTTGATCCACTTTTCATATACAGAAAACTTTCTAGAAATATGTATATATATATATATACATATATATATATATCAAATATTTACTCTGTATATATATATATATATGTATATATATATATATCAAATATTTACTCTGTATATATATATATATGTATATATATATATATATCAAATATTTACTCTGTATATATATATATATATATACACACATATATATATATATACATATATATATCAAATATTTACTCGTACTTGTATATACATATACAGAGTATATATATATATATGTATATACAGAGTAAATATTTGATTCCCTCTAATTCTTCACCATTTACTGTAAATATTGTCACCATTAGAAGTGTATTTATAGGATCCTTTTTGACTCTTTTTTGCATTTGTGTGTGTTTGGCTTGAGCTGAAATCCATGACGCATGCTTTAACCTGCACACACACACACACACACACACACACACACACACACACACACACACACACACACCGGTCCCTACATCACCAAGGAACACCTCGTCTTTCTGCAAATACAAATTGCAAGTGAA